AGAATCCTTCAGTATTGCAACTCAAGGCTTGAATTTTTTTCTTCAGTTCTTTCAGCTTGAGAAATGCTGAGCATGTCCTTTCTTTTTGGTTTTCTAACTGCAGATCTTCGCACATTTCATTATAATACTTTACTTTGTCTTCTCCAGCCACCCTTTGAATCTTCTATTCAACTCTTTTACTTCATCATTTCTTCCATTCGCTTTAGCTATTCTAAGTTCAAGAGCAATTTTCAGAGTCTCTTCTGACATGCATTTTGGTCTTTTCTTTCTTTCCTGTTTTTTTAATGATGTCTTGCTTTCTTCATGTATGATATCCTTGATGTCATCCCACACTTCACCTGGTTTTCGGTCATTAGTGTTCAATGCATCAAATCTATTCTTGAGATGGTTTCTAAATTCAGATGGGATATACTCAAGGTCGTACTTTGGTTCTCATGGACTTGTTTTAGTTTTCTTCAGCTTCAACTTGAATTTGCATAGGAGCAATTGATGGTCTGTTCTGCAACTGGCCCAGGGCTTGTTATGACTGATGATAAATACCTGAGTGTGCCAGCTGTTAAGCACTTGGCTACTAACCGAAAGTCTGGCAGTTAGAACCTACTCAGAGACGCCTCCGAAGAAAGGTCTGGTGATCTGTTTCCAAAAGGTCACAGCCTCGAAAATCCTTTGGAGCGCAGTTCTACTTTGCAACACGTAGGGTCACCATGAGTCAGAATCGACTTGACGCCAACTAGTAAAGCATGTCCCCGAAAATTTCAGTAAGTTTTCTACAGATACAAGGTAGGCATATGTCTTTGAGATATTTCCCATGGCTAAAAATTCTATATTGGAAATATTACATCTGTTTCAGTGCCTGCTTCTTGGGGATGCCTCCCACAGTCTGAACTAGACCTCACTTAAATTCTTTTGACCACAATCCAATGAAAATTTCTGGATTCCAAACTCAGAAAACAGTCAAAGGGTTTCGTTCACCACCATTGCTTCTCAAAGGCAATATCTGGAACTCATTCACCGTGTTTTCAGTCCTCTGCATGAAGCTCTTTCTCATCATGAGGGGTCTCACTCAGTGATGGGGGGCAACAGGGGAAGAACAGAGAGGGCACTGCCCTTTTTTAAATTTCTTTTCTGGGAGAAGGCAATGGACCAAGAATGAAATTTAATTACCATCTCATGCTTGGTGAAATGCAAAAGCAACTTTATTTGGACTGAAAAGCAAAACCATTCTCCTTAATGTGGTGAAGTCTACATATCAAAGAGCCTAACAGAGGTTTGCAGATGTTAACATAAATTCCCTGCCCAGCTCTCCCCATACCCTTTACTGCTCTACTTTTCTACTTAGCATTGTATCCTTCATGATCTGCTGCGTTATGTTCTTGTTCGTTGTTTTCCTCCCCCACTAGAATGGGAGCATCACAAGAGCAGTGATTTTGTCTGCTTTGCTCACTGCTGTACTCTAACAGTGCCTGATAGATGTTTGGTGTCTTCAGCTGAATTATCCTGAAATCAGACGAGAATTTGACCATCAGATGAGATGGTTTATTTGGGAGATGATCCCAGGGAGCAGATACGAGAAAATGAGAAGAGTGAGAGAGACAGGTAAGGTGGAAAAGCCAATTAAAGGGATGTTATCAAGGCCACTGCTGCAGATGAAGGGGACTCAAGGATTTTTGGGAAGGCTCCAGAAGCTTCTGAAATGGTCCATAAGGAGAGCAGAAGACTTGGAAGTTCCCATTCCTTGCTGGTTGAGGGTTGCCCTCCAGAGTTAACACCATTGCTTTCCAGCTAAACGTCTGCAGGGGCTGAGCTTTGAGTAAAGAAGTGGAGAGGGGAGCTTTGGAAGCTTGAGGAGGGAATGCTGTCCTTGCTCTCAAAACTGCCCAACCAGATGTGGAAGGCAGAGCTGTGGAAACAGGTACCAAAAGCATCTGCCTCAGGAGCATGAAGCAAGGATTTGTTAATGAATGAATGGATTCTCCCCACTGCATATACGCACTACAAGAAAAGCTCAGGCTCCAGCCCGTCTTTCTAGACCAATGGTCAGAATGATTAGCACCCTCTGACTCATTAAGAAGGAAAAAAAAAATCATTACTGTGTTCAGATGCCTTTTTGGTTTTTTATTTTCCCAGAGTATCTTCTATAACACATCCCTGTCCAGTATTCTCATTCCTGGGGGCAAAGTGGCTACAACTTTAGGGCAAATGAGAGGTCGGCTTCATGGTCCCTTCTTCATATCATAGTCCTTGTCACTTTTGGCTTCCCCTTGTGGCATTTCCTCTCCAGCCTCTTGGCCACCCCTTCACTGGCTCTCTTTCCTCCATTCATTCCTTCATGCTGTCACCCCCAGGTTGGCAACCACCACCCTACCCTAAAGTTTGAGAACCACTGTTCTATAACAAGTTTATATTTCTAGACACGTCTTGGCCACGGTCACAAATATAACTAGTTCCCCCAACTGAACTACACACACACTTAGCAGCCTCGTGAAAAACCACTGGAAAGCATTTAGTCAGCTGCTCTGTTTTTAAAATGACGCCTTTGGTAGCAGAAATGTAGCTGTCCCTCGGGTTTAGAAGGGCGGGGTGTTTCAACCCCCATGCAGGTGCCCCACAGACCCGCCACCCGGGGAGCCCCTGCGGGCAGAGCTGAATAGGGATTCCGATTTGAAAGAATCCCTTCCCGGCATCCGGTGGTGCAGTGGCTAGGCGCTGCTCTTCTGCTCGCCTCGGTTTGCCGTCCGTGAAATGGGTGGGTGGGTGGCAATGCCTATTCAGGGACCAGGCGACCCTAAGCACCAGCCCCGGGACTCAAACCTAAACGACTTCAGGGCGGAGATGGGTGAAGACCGCGACCATGCACTGGCTCGGGATCGCCCAGATCCGGAGCCAGGGGCGAGACCGCGCTGGGAAGGGCAGATGAGTGACGGGGGCGGGGTTCTTATCTCCAAGCCTAGCAACCGGCGTTCTGGTGGGAATGGATATGGGGTCCGAGTGCGCGAGAATGCAGAGGAGGTGGCAGGTGGGATGCTAATGTTCTCGGAGGTCGGGGTTAAGGCGGGAGACAAACGGGGACACTCGCTGGCGCCACTTGGCGGCGGCGGCGAGACCCCGCGGGGGTCTCGGGCAGGTAGTGCCTCAGCCTCGAAGAAAATATTGCCCTTTCCAAGCTGGATTCCTCTGAGCAAAGCCAGATAGTATCATCCCCGTTCTGCAGCTGCATAAAGCGAAGCCCAGGACGCCAACAGCCAGCTGTGGCCGGAGACCATTCACTGCCCCGGGAACACTTGCCCTTAAAATATTGGAGAACTTCAAGCGCTTTTAATGAGGCTGGGAAGAAAGTGAAGACCCGGACCCAGTCCTCCCTCCCTCGGGGGAGAATACTAACACAGCTAGAGATCGGAGCTGCCTAGGGTGCTCGGAGAGGGGCCACGTACCTTCCCTCTCTAAATTTCACTTTGCTGACACCCAGCCCAGCCTCGAGTCCCCCAAATGTCTTTTCGGCCCATTGAAAGAGGATTAAACGCAGGAAGCTTCTCCATCCCGGCGGGAGACTCCGACTCCCAGGTCTCCTGCCCTGAGGAGCAGGGCGCTAGAATGGGCAAGGGAGAGGGAGCTGGAAGGAATTGGAGGAGGAAGCTTCTGGGACCGAGAGTAGGGCCGGCCACGGGCACCCCGCCAGGGAGGGGTTAACTCGACTACACTAGGCCATTTCCCCCTCTCCTCCAGGAGCCACCTCAATCGGTTGTCGCCCTAGTGGCCGCCATCTGAGCACGTGTTACTGCCCGTTTGCGTCAGCGCTGGGTAAACAGATGACTGGACAACAGTGCCGGGCGGGGCTATTTAAGAGGCAGCCGCCCGCCCACTCTGAACTTGGCTCCGGCCGCCGGCTGCTTTGGTGGGAACGCGAAGCCATCTGCGTTCTACTCCAAAGGTAGGTTCTCGCTCCTGCCGACAGGGAATCCAAGGGTCTTTTGTCGTAGGAATGATGTCTTCAGTTTTGTGCTCCTTTGCATTTTATTTTTCGGTTTTCGTGTCTCTCTCCGAGCGCTCGAACGGCATTTCTTAAAGTCAGAAATAACGGCGCTGTTTCTAACAATGTGTGAGGGGTGGATGAAGCTGCTTTCAAGACGTTCACACACACGCATCCTTTCAAGCGCACAACGGTGTAATATCCCTTGGCACAGGATTAGCATTCAAATTGAAATTTGCTAGATTTTACCCTGAAGTGCTCTGTACTTTGCAATCTTTTCAAATAGAATACCTAGAAGTTTTTAAGATTTAAATTTATTTTGTAAATACTGCAGAAAAATTCAGTGCTTTGGGGATAGAAAAGTGCGGGTATTTTATCTGCCCGCGGATCTAAAACGCAGCTGGACTTTGCCAATGACTGATGGCTGAGCGCACATTACTGATTTTAAAAACCCTGCCTAGGTTTGGCTAGTGGTTTGGTGCCAATTCCCATGTACATTTTGAAGAAACTTTGCAAATACGGCTTTTGTCCATTGCTCCCACATTTTTAACTGTGCTTCTCTTTTCTCACCATTTATTTCCCTACCGCAAGCTTCTTCGCTGTCTGGAAACGAGCTACCTTTCTTCAAAGATCTCTTTTCTCCCACGGAGTCTTCTTTTTAGAAAATTTCGCACATTTTCTTAACCCCTTGCTTTTCCAATTAGAAGACAGATGCTCTACTAACATTTCTTCAACCTAAAGGAAAGCAGAAAACATTCCTTCTGCTAAGCACTGGGGTCTCTGCGCGCTCCCCATGCACCGGGTGTGGTTTACCCAAAGACAAGCCTGGTGCGCCCTTACGCACGTGCTGTGGCCGCTCAACTCGAGTCTGCGCCCAGCGAGTCCTTTTGCCTGTGCTAGCCTGGCCCGTCCGGAGCGACCCGTATTTGGGCTAAGACCCTTCTCTGTGCCCTGGCTTCCCCTACTCCCCCCAGGAGTCCATCGGACCCCACCTTTCGGTTAACTGCCCCCTTCCCCTTTACCCTCTACAGCCATGAATAGCGGCGTGCGTCTGTGCGTGCTGATGGCAGTACTGGCGGTGGGTGCGTTGGCTCAGCCCGCGCACCCGGAGGACCCAGCTGGCCCCGGGGTGCAGGGCCCAGAGGAGGCTCCCCGGAGGCCAATGAGGGCCGTCCAGAGGGTGGACGGCGAGCCCCGAGCGCACCTGGGAGCGCTGCTGGCCAGATATATCCAGCAGGCCCGGAAAGGTAAGGATGGCTCCTCTCCATCCCTCACGTCTGCCCAGGAGCGGGGCTCCCATTCCAGAGCCTCTCCTCTAGCGCACGACTGTTGTAGATATCTCTTGGGGCAAACGCAGGCGACAGGTTAAGCTAAAAGGTTTCTTATTTTCCTTTCCCTGGCTATACCACACGAGACAGTTCAGTTTTCAGAACGTACTTTGTAGCAAAGGTGGGGGGGGGGGAAGGCAGGAAGGGACTTCATTAGGAAGAAGAACCTTTTTAAAAGCTTTCTTTGAAATAATTTTTGGCCCAGTGTTGCTAAGTTCAAGTCATTTCATGAAGACATTAAAAGATAAGATTTAAATTTATTTTGCAAATATGAATTTAAATGTGTATGTAGAACTCTCTAAAAGAGTTCACATATGCAGTAAATAGTCTCTGTTGTAGACACAAAGAAACCTCTAGCCCCTCGATACTGACAATTGGTAACACTCTAGCAGGATGCGATCAATACTGCCAATGCCTGAGATCTGACAACAGCAGTTAAACAAGAAGTGACAATATCAGTTTTCACCAAACTATGTAATGGGAGAAAGGAATCAGCACCAATTCTGAGTTCTCCTTGGCCATAATTGCCCAACCCTTTATTCTACCAACTGGATCCACAGTGACACTGATGGTGAGCGCTCTGGCTGTGGGGCAGGTGCTCAACTGAACCAACACAGCTAGACCTTCAAACCACTCAGCAAATGCTGGTGGGTGGAGGTGGGGGGCAGGCAGGCTCCCTTTTCCAGGAGGCTCTCTTGCTCTACTAGATTTGACTGTTGTTGGGTGCCCTTGAATGGATTCTGCCCCATAGCCACCCCATGTGACAGAGTAGAACTGCCCCATAGGGTTTTCTTGGCTGTAATCCTTACGGAAGCAGATCACCAGGTCTTTCCTCCCTCGGAGTTGCTGGGTGGGTTCGAACTGCCAACCTTCTGGTTAGCAGCCAAGCACTTAACCATTGCAGCACCAGGGCTCCTTCTGGATTTGACTAGAGGAAGAGAAAATGGAGGCTTGGCGCTTCAGAGTCTCCTATGGTTTCATATAAAGGTGAGACTGGAACCTTTTTAAGTAGGGGATTTCAGAGGGAAAGAGAAGAAGGTGACTTCTTATATTTCTTCCTCCCTTTGGGAAATTGCTGGAACTCTCACCATCTGTTTTGCTTGCCTGCTAATTACATTGAAAGAGATGGAAATACTAGTAGGATAACAGAAAAGGTCTGAAAACTTTTGGGGGCTCCTGCTGATTATCTCTCTGAAAGCAATTTAATATCTGACCCTGGGTATGGGCTGAATTTCAGCCAGATCAATCTGAAACTTTCTAGGCTTTTTTTTTTTTTTTTTTCTGGAAGAAAATCTGAGAGCTAATCAACCTCCCTCCTCTCTCCACCTTCAGGAAAGTTCACAGAGAAACAGTTCCAGAAAAAAGCCAGTTACCACATTATTTCCCAGGTCTGATGCTTGTCAGTGGCTCTTATAGCACACATCTTAGTTGGAAAGTTCTTCCTCTCCCTACTTCTCAGCCTTCTTCCTTTGCCTTCAGCCTGTTGTCCAAACAACACAGGTAGAAATAGCAGTCACCTAGAACTTCAGCTGCCAACACTCACAGATCAGCGGTAGCTAGCAAACAAGCATACGCTTCTATTTGACAAATATGAACTAGGGATAAATATATATACATTTAAAAACTGTTCAGTTTCTTTGAGTATTTTACGTATTTTGGGATTGTATCAGATTTTTACCTTGGTGGGGCAGTGTTTAAGCGCTTAGCTGCTGATTGACAGGTCGGCGGTTCGAACCAGCAGCTCCGCAGGAGAAAGATGTGACTATCTGCCCCCATAAAGATTACAGCCTAGGAAACCCTATCGGGCAATTCTACTCTGTCCTATACAGTCACTATGAGTGGGAATCGACTTGGGGCAATTCCTGCTTTGCTTATTGTATATATAATAAGGAGCCTTGGTGGAGCAACAGTTAAGCAGTTGGCTGCTAACCAAAAGGTTAGTGGTTCAAACCTACCCAGCAGCTTCTGTTTTGCTTTCCTGCTAATTACACTGAAAGAGAGAAAGATGTAGCAATCTGCTCCCATAAAGATTACAGCCTAGAAAACCCTATGGGCCAGTTCTACTCTGTCCCATGGGTCTGTCTGAGTTGAAAATCATCTTGATGACACCTAACAACAACAACAAAGCATATATAATGCTTGAAGATCCTAAACAAGATCATTTACTCTTTCGGCAGTGCTCAATAGTCGATCTCTAGGAATGTCCCCAGAGCTTTCAATGACCTGAAGAGAAGCAAATCTATTGGGAGGGGAGGGCTTGGGAGGCATCTAACATCGAATGTGCACCTGCTCCCTGCCCAGCAGAGATTCAATGTTACATCTGTATTATCTGCACAGTGTTATTATCCCCGGTTTGTCAGTATGGAAACTGAGGCTCTAGAAGGGTAAGTAACCTACACGAGGTTGCATATCTAGGCAGCAGCAGGGCTGAGCCTATCCAAAGGGTCTGGAAACCATCCAGCTTCCCAGTTGTACTGTACATTCCAGGTTTAAAAGTCTAGAAGAGCCAGACCATTCCATTCAATTCCATAAATAATGTGTAAGCCCTTGCCTTGGGTTAGGCACTGGGGAAGTGAGTGAGGACCTTAGGAAATGCATGCAAAACAAGGACAGAGCTGTGTGCTGACTGGGGACAGTGAGGTGTGTAGCAAGTGCAGCTTCCATGACTGAACATGGTGTCCCCACCAATGACCCAGGCTGCTCACTGTAATCAAAGCTGTCACTTTGCTTCCATTAGTTGGAAATTCCATCAGTGCCCAGTCCTTGGAGTGGGCGTTCATCAGCAGAGCAGGCAGGAAGATGGGGCAAACCTCATTGTGTATGTGTTACAGGTACCTGGGTCTGTAGGTTCTGCTGAATGAGAGAACTAATGTTTCACCTGAAAGGTCTTGAACAGTTTAACAACAAAACCCAAACTAAATCTGCTGCCATTGAGTCAATTCTGACTCATAGTGATCCTATTGGACAGAGTAGAACTGCTCCACAGGGTTTCCAAGGAGTAGCTGGTAGATTTGAACTGCCAACCTTTTGGTTAGCAGCCAAGCTCTTAACCACTGCACCACCAGGGCTCCAACTTAACAACAGGGGCTGTTTTTCTTCTGTGTGTGTTGGGCAGAGGTCCAAGAGGGGCTGGAGCAAGCTGGGTTGACTCACTTCCAGGCTGGGAGGGGATGTGTGGGGAGCAAGAAAAGGGAGGGTGGAGGTGTTGCTCTGTGGAATTGTTTCCTTTTGTTAATTTAGCTTGCTTAGTTTGAAGACCCAGTGAGGCAGGGTAACTGCCTCTGCCATGTCTTTGTTCAATAAATAAGCTGATAGGAGCAGCCTCTTGCAGCATCATGAGAGGTGGGGACCTAGTGGCCCAACCCAGTGGGTACTATCTGGAGTCCTCTGCTCCTCTACCCTCAAAGCAGCCTGGGCTTGTCCTGAGGGACCTTTCTTGAATCTTACTTTGCACAGAAGAAGGTGTTATACTGATTTCATATGTCAGGAAGCCACTCCCAGTGACCTGTGGGCTGGGACTGTGTCCCATGTCTCCAAAGAAACCACCTCTTCCTGTCCCTACTCATTCAGTCTGAATTACACATGGGAATCATCCTATCTTCAAGGACTTAGCTCCCATCCCAAAGGGCCCATTTCAGGTTTGGTTATTGCATTTTGGGCAAAATGACTGATTTAAATGATTTTTTTATTACCTACCTCTCTGCCCACGCTTCTGGGCTAAGGATTTTAATCTGATGGTGTGTCTTTTTCTCAGTATTGTTTTTAAAAAAGAAGTTAGCTTTTGAATTAACCATTTTAAACGGTATTATTCTAGCAATGAGGATCAATTCCTTCTTTTTTTTTTTTTTAAATCATCCCAACACCAAAATATTGTAATTGTATTACCTTAACAACAAGAGCTTTCTGGAGGACAAGCCATGTTCAGAGCTATTAAGGGCTGAGATTTAAAAGTGGGTAAGTACTGGGGAGATTCTTGGCTGGCTTCTGCTGAGGGTCATGTACATAAGAAAGAATAGCTTTGAGGGTGGGGTGACAAAGGAAAACTCAGGCAAGTCACCAGTCCCTGAAAACAAAGCCGTTGCCAGTTGCCATTGATTCAACTGTGAGTCCTGTGATCCCATTTGTGTCAGAGTACAACTGTGCTCCACAGGGTTTTCAATCGTTGAGTGTTTGAAAGTAGATCACCAGGTCTTTCTTCCAATGCACCTCTAGGTGGACTCAAACCTCCAACCTTTCAGTTAGCAGCTGAGTGCTTAACCATTTGCACCACCCAGGGACTCCTCAGTCCATGAAAGGCAGGAAGAAATGAATCCACCTAAATACTTGCAGAACACAAAGCAAACCCATGTAAATACTAGAGTAAATATTACCCTTTCTGAAACTCAACTGTTAACCGACAGGTTGGCGGTTCAAACCCACCCAGAGGCTACGCAGGAGAAAAACCCAATGATCTGCTTCCCTAAAGTTTACAGCCTAGAAAACCCTATGGGGCAGTTCTACTCTGTCCCATGGGGTTGCTATCAGTCGAAATTGACTCGACGGCACCTAACAACAATAACTCCAGTTACAGAGACCTGGATCCATCTCCTCTCTTATATCTTGGTCCAGAAATTTCACTATCTTGGTAGCTCTTTGACATCCTTAAGAAGATGTATGTTATATTTTGCCTGGTTTTCCCAATCTTCTCATTTACAAATTGAACTAGTGATGTTATAGACATAATGTTCCTATGTCCTTCCTCCCTGGCCCTTGTAGCTCCTTCCGGCCGGATGTCTATCGTGAAGAACCTGCAGGGCCTGGACCCCAGCCACAGGATAAGTGACCGGGACTACATGGGCTGGATGGATTTTGGCCGCCGCAGTGCTGAGGAGTATGAATATCCCTCCTAGGGGACGCATGCTTCCTCAGCTGGACCAGAAGTAACCTCCCATCTCAGAGAAGACAGAATAAGAAAATAATCACAGTCGTAACTCACTGTCTCTGAAGAGTGACACTTCAATTATCTATTTATTAAGTTCTCAATGTGAAAAACCTGTCTGTAAGATTGTCCAGTGCAACTGTGCAGCTCTGCCAACGTGTGCAAGTGGAAGACACAATGTTCCCCTCATCTGTGACTCCTGGCCCTAACGCGTTGCTATGCTATTAAAGTGATTTCATTCTGCCCCCTCCTTCCCTGTGTCTAGTGAGGGCAAAGAGCTCCATTTGGTCTTCAGAACAATCAAGGAAGGAGGCCTAAGATACGGTGCTCAAGGACAAATTCCTGCAATAGGTCACCCTGAAAGAGCTTGGGAAGTGTGGGCTGGGCATGGAGCTGACTTCCCAGCCACAGGGGAGGTGGCCAGTGGAAGGGAGTGCTGTGGTCAGCTCCAGGGCCCAACCCTGCCCCCCTGATCCCTGGGCCCTGGCTGGGGTCCACTGTGAACAAAGGACCTACCCTGCTGCTAATGAGCATTCATTTGTCTGGGTGAGGCCCAGAGGGGCAGCTTGGGATGGAACCTCCCATCTGCCCACCCACAGGTGTTCTCATCTGCCAACCCCACCCCACACCAGGGCTTCTTAGGGGTTCTGTTGTCCTCTAAACAAATTACATAAGAAACCCTTTGGGACAGTTCTAGTCTGACATATAGGGTCACTATGAGTTGGAATCAACTTGATGGCACACAACAACAATTGGGCAGTGCTTTTGCATACGTTTGATCCAGAGGTTCTTCTCTTACAGACAAGGAAACAGGCTCTGAGAGGGGAAAATAACTGGCCCACAGTCACCCAGCTAATGAGATTCACAGAACACAGGGCTCAGCGCTCCTAGGTGGGTGTGACTTCCTTCACTCTGGCACTTCTCAAACTCTACAGTGCTCATGAATCACCTGGGGTCTTGTTAAACTGCAGGTTCTGAGTCAGAAGGTCTCGGGTGGGGCCTGAGCAGGCTCCCAGGTGACGTCAGTGCTGCTGGTCCAGGACCACACTTGGAGTTTCCAGGCTGCAGAGAAGAGCCTATGATTACCTTCCCTTGAACCCCACCACAGTTCAGAGTGATGGGATGACTGGTACTTATCCAGAACAAACCCTCTCCTTCCATGGGTCAGTCCCTCTGTTGGGTCTCTCTAGAGATCAGTCCAAGGAGACACCCAGAGATAATCTAACACCCACCACCCACAGTGCAGCCTCTCTATGCCTCCCACTCGAGGTGTCCAGGCATCTTGAATTCTCATCCAGTAAAGGTCCAGGTGATCCAGTGTGGCAGGGCATGGCAGCCCAAAAAGGAACAGACATTTAAGACAATGCTGATAAATCCATAACTGGTCTTGGAGGGGCCATAGCCAACTCACTGTCACCACCCCTGGCACTAGGTGCATTCTTCCTTAGTGGTGGAAAGAGGACGCTGGGTGAGGCCTTGGAAGGAGTCCCAGGAAGAACTGGGCTGGAACAGTTTAGCTTGAGCTGAAAGTTAGGATTCAATGTAAAACTCAGACTCCAAATAGATGACACATTCCAAAGAGACGTATTGTTCCCACCTGTGGTCATCACCCAGTTCAGTCTCTATAATTTGGTCTCTGAGATTGCCTCATATACGCTGGTGTCCAGCCCTCCTTTAATATAAAATATCCAGCTGCCTGCATTTTTAGCTGCCCTCCCCTCCAAAAAATCTTTTTTTCTGGGTGCGTAGGGGATGTTAGATGTGTATGAGGATAAGAGTGTGACTCTGTGTGTGTGTGTGTGTTGTTTGTGTGTTAGAGGTGGGGAATGATGAGCAAGCTGGCATTCAATATAAAACAGGGAATGGATGATGAAGGTTTGATCTGAGTTAGTGATTTATAAATCATAAATCAGTCATTGTAAATCATAATTTTCAAAGGCAAAGTCATACGAATATAAAACAAACACACTAGTAAGATGTTATGATCAGGTCAAAGGAGCATCTGAAGAACAGATGTGTATAAGCAGCCAGGAATGCTGAAATAAATTTGCTAATAGATGCAAGACTGGTTAATATCTATGTTTGGAATCATCCTTTATCCAGGATGGGAATTAGTTGTATCTTCAAGGACAATATTCACTTATGTTTCTATGGACAAGAATTACTGCCTTACTGCCAGTTTTCTACAGGAGTCCCTGGGTGGTGCATACAGTTAAGTGCTCAACTACTAGCTGGAAGGCTGGTGGTTTGAACCCACCCAGAGGTGCCTCGGAAGAGAGACCTGGTGATCTGCTTTCAAAACATCACAGCCTTGAAAACCCTATGGAGCACCTTTGTACTCTGCACACATGGGGTCATCATGAGTCAGAACTGACTACAGCTTGTTGTTGGGTGCCATCAATTCTCACTCAAAGTGATCCCATGTAACAGCGTAGAACTGCCCTATACGGTTTTCTTAGCTGTAATCTTTCCAGAAGCAGATGGCCAGCTTCTTCTCCCGCTGAGCCTCTGGGTGAGTTCAGACTGATAACCTTTCGGTTAACATCCCAGTGCTTAACCATTTGTGTCACCAGAGCTCCCTTCCACAGCTTAGAGACTGAAAGCCCAAAGCAGAGGCGTCGTGAGTAGGGGGCAGAAGGGGGCACTTGCCCCTGAGAGCAAGTCCAAGGGGGTGCCAAGCGAGGCCCTGAATGGCATTCTGAGGAGCCACAAATATGAAAAGAGCCTGACTGAGACAGCCAGACAAGAGGGGAGAAGGTGTTTCTGCGGATGCATGTTGCTATCAACGTCCATTCATCTTAAAATTGGCGGAGGCGGTCACAATTTAGAGATTGCTCCCAGGCAGCTGAATTGGGAGCGGGCGTGATTTAGAGATTGCCCCTCAGTGTTCGTTACTCTCCTTACCCCACTGGCCCAAAGACACAGACCCCAAAAGCATCAGATAAATGCCCAGCACTCCATTGAAAGGACACCCAGTAATCCCCTTTGCCCATTTCAAAGTGTCACAAAAATTCCTAACAAGGGAAAGGAAAGAACATTTCCTGGCCTCTTCCTGACTGCAGGACCCTGTATATGGAGCTTGTGAGCAGCAGCTCAGGTAACTGTCCCAAGGTAGCCATGATCCCCACTTTTGGAAGAGGAAACTGAAGCTCAGAGAGGCTATGTGACTTAGTAACGCACACAATGCTCACAAGTGGCCGTGCTGGGATTTAAGCAGCTGGTTCTGGAACTCTCTGCGAGGGGCCTTAGGGCCACTATCTGGCAGAAAAGGGGCTTAAGATTGTCTTGGAGCTGCCTCTGCACACTGAGGTCACTGAATTAGCGTGTGTGATTGTTTGCGGTGGCTTTGAGGGGACCTGGTGGAGCTTCCCAGGCGGGAGTGGGAGGGACTTTTAAGACTCGCTCCCCCAACCCTCAGTCCACCACTGGATTTAGACCCATCCCCTTCTAACTGCACTGTCCCGCTCTCATCTCTGTGCCACATGCTGTTCCCGAGCCCAGGCACCAGGACATGTGACATAGCTCTTCCTCAGGGGATCAGATCAGGATCCTGCAGCCAAGCTGAGCAATTCTCCAAGAAGCCAGCAGCACCGCAAGCTCTGCTTTAAAGAGGCCTGGAGGACACCCACACAGTTCCTGGGGAACTCCTCTCCCCCAGCCCTCCTCCCCTCCCAGCTGTCCCTCTTGAATCCCTACAACCAAAAACCATCATGACCCTGTAAGTCCAAAGTAGAACTGCCCCATAGGGTTTCCAAGGAGAGGCTGGTGGGTTTGAACCACCAGTCTTTTGGTTAGCAGCTGAGCTCTTAACCACTATGCCACCGGGGCTCCTGAACAGCTTGCAGAAATTCTACCCTAGGCCACATCCCCCTACAGCTATTCCTGCTGTTTACACCCTTGGCTCTGTTAATGAAGGCTGATCAAGTTTTCCTGTTTCTACATCCACTGGAATCCAAAAGCTAAAAAGGACATTGGCTATTATTCAAGCCCAAGACATGCTCTACCCTATCCCCACTCCCATTTTCTAGATAATAAACTTGCCCAAGATCACACAACAAATTAGAGATGGAACCTGCAGCTCTCTCTAGAATTAACTTCTTGCCAGACTGAGACATAAAGAGCTTGCCTGGTGGTGCCTGCATTTGCTGATGCCTCTGGCCTGCCGACCAGCAGCCAGAGTGGGGACAGGACTCACTTTCCCAAAATTCGCTTTGCCACAACCAGACTGTAGTACATCCCTCCTGGAAAGTGAGGGAAGCTTTACATAATGTGCCCCTAACCTACCAAACCCAGCCGTCATCTTTCCTGTCTCAAGTTGAGCCAAGTGTGGGTAAACGGAAAGGGAGGATGGGAGAAAGTCTACGATCATTTCTTTAAAAAATGAACAAAAATTAAAAAAAAAAAACCTTTCTACTTGTCTCAGGTTGAAGAGCCAAAGAAAAGAATGCTGTTCCTTTAGCTGAATTTCCAGAAGCTCTGAGTATTTTTTTTTCCAGCACCTTCAAATTATTGTTAGCCTCAAAGATAAATAAAGCAGAAGTCAAACGAAGAGAGAGAAAATCATTGTCTCACTAATTTCCCCTGGACTCTGGGCTCTGAAAGGCAGCTGAAAGCCCACTACCACTGAGTCAATTCCGACTCATAGCAACTCTATAGGACAGAGTTGAACTGCTCCATAGGGTTTCCAAAGAGCGGCTGGTGGATTTGAAGTGCTGACCTTTTGGTTAGCAGCCATAGCTTTTTTTTTTCTTTGCTTTTAATTTTTTCTCATACAAAAATTTATACATACATTGTTATGTGACTGTAACTGCTCTCCCCATACTGTGACAGCACACTCCCCCTTTCTACCCGATTCCCCATGTGCATTCAACCAGCTTCTAACCCTCTCTGCCTTCCCATCTTACCTTCAGACAGAAGCAGCCCATTTAGTCTCTTGTATCTACTTGAGCTAAGAGGCACACTCCTCACAAG